ATACCCAAAATATTAAATGCCTCTCAATCAATTTAATCCTGTGATGCCCAAAAGAACAACCATCCTCAGTCTGGAAGTTGTTAACCCATAGCTAAAACTTTGTCTCTGACCAGATCTGCACTCAAACCCCAATATTTTGCTCTCTGATCCTTAAAAAAGCAGCAATTTGGGTCGTTTTGTGCCTCATAAAACTGTACAACACACCAGTTTTGTCTTTTGTCACCATGTGACCTACTTTGGAAGTTTCTCCCTGGATGATTAAGAAGAGAAACAGGGACAGAGCTACCAGAAAAGCACAAGTCCTTCTGCATGCAGTTAAAAAAACCTGTGTAAAAATAGCCACCCACCACCTCCAATCCACTGCACCAGCTGAACACCAACCTTTTTTATTGGTCGTGAAGTATTTGGAGTCCGTCATGGTTCCAGGTCCTTAAAACACCTGAGAATGACAATAATAAAAAAAGAACAAGTCAGCTCCCAGAGCTGTGAGATGGCAACACCCAGTTTGGGAGGCAGGAACTCGCAGGGAGGATGGTTGGTGAGGGCGAGGGAAGAAGCAAACGCTTTACATCCACAGGCACAAGTTTCCCAATCTTCATCCTGCACCTGCTGCTGGAATTTCCTGGCAAAACCCAGGGATTTAAAGGGCTCAGATGAACAGTGCTGGTGAAAATACAACAGCCTGTGGCGGATGGGCTGGGAAAGCTTTCCAAATTCCCAGTCTCAGAAGGGAAAAGGGGTTTTTTAACTCCTTACAATCAGCAGATCCTGGTGTGTTCTGCAGCTCTGCCTTTCCCGGGTATGCTATTCCATTTTCCAAGAAAAAGCACATTTAGTATCTCGCCTGGCAGGGAGAACTCCACGTTTCAGACAAAGGAAACTGTCATCTCCCCCTAACGATATTTCCCTGTGCTGCATCTTCATGGAAGGCACAATTAACCCCACTTGCAACACCCACCCCCAGGCCTTTCGTTTCTTTCCCTCCTTTTGTTCCCAGAAGATGCAAAGCAGTTGTGGGTTTGTTTTCTTTGTTGTTTTTTGTTTGTTTTTTTTTAAAGAACAGCCATTACTTTTCAGTTCTCTCAAGCTTGAAATCGAAATCTTTCTCTGTCAAGATCCAACACCCCACCTCTGAGACACACACCAGCTTATTATTTCAGTGCTGCACTGCTTGTTTTGTGGGCAGGACCAAAAAATGCTGTTGGGCCAGCAAAGTGCTCAGCAGAGCCAGCAGAATGGTCTCGCCAGCACTTCTCTTGCTCCACTAAATTATTAATGCCTTGGAATACAGAGATTGCCCAGATGTATGTGGATATCCATCATTTTATTCCGATAAATGCCAGCTCTGTGACAAACATGACTCAAAGAATTTTCAAGTACTGGCTGAAAAACAAGCAGAGGAGTGGGCAGTTTGACTGCTCTTGATGAAACAGTCTGTATCAGCACTAGGAAATTTGACCCTAAAACCAACTCAAAAAAGGCTTTTTTCCCTCTCTTACCTCCTTTTTCTATTTTTTTCCCCAATTCTCCTTTTCTTACACATCCTTCCATGACCTTAAACGCTGCTAGCAAAGCACTAAGTCATCTGTTCCCTAAATGCTGCCTGTCTTGCCTCTAAACCCTGCAGGTCTTGCTGGCTCAGCAACAAAAGGACCAGCACAGCTCTGAACTCCAAGACTCTGCCCAGCAGTGCAACCAGCTGGGTGTTCCTTAACACTTTCCTTCCTCATCCCTTAACCAACCCCAACACCGTGACCATTCCTTTGCCCCCATCCACCCGGAGCAGTTTAACACCTTGGCAGTTGAATTCCCAGCAGCAGCTCGGGGGTAATTCCCCAATTCCCACCTCCTTCTCTGTGCCCCACATGGCATTGCTGGGATCACCTTGCTCAACTGCCAAACAACGGGATGAGGAACAACCTGTTGCTCTTCCCAGTTCCCTGGAGCTCCTGCTTGCCCTGTGGTTACTGCCACATCCTAATTAGGCAGAATTACTGCGTTTGGGTTTGATTTGTCTCCCTTCCTGCTCCAAGCTGGAGAGCAAACTATGTCTGGAGGCAGCTCTGGAAGCACGTTCCTCCTGCAGAGGAGGTTTAACCTCCTTCCAAAACAGAGGCTGGGTTGGGAAAGCCACACGAGCCCCAGCACTGCAATTTTTTCCAGCAAAAATATCACAGCCCCCCCTGACAGCAGAGGCTGCTGTGGGGCCTGTTTTGTAATTAAAACCAGACCCTGTGTACAGCTGCAATGTTACTGTGGCACAGTCCTTTGGGTTTGAGCCCAGCTTAAAAGATGACTTAAATGTTTTTCTCTATGAGAGCACTTGGCACAGTGCCATGCAAAAGGCATTGAACGTGGCCTCAATGTTCTTTGTTTGCATTATATGTGGATTTGTCTGCCAGGGTCATCTCTCCCAGCTGAGCTACTCTAATACAGCTTTAACTGGGGCCAGAGCAGCAGATTAGAGAGCAAATCGAGGAGGAAAAAACCCAAACCACCATAACCATCATCCCAGTTGCATAAAGCCCCACACACAGAGGGAGGGACCTCGCTGAATTTCAGGGATGATCATTAAATCCCTAAAGCAGGACATTTTGCTGTTTTTCCTCCCTTCAGATCACATACTTGGGAACATGAAGAATCCTAGAAACACTCAGACAGGGCCAAGCACAGCCCATGTCTTTACAACCTGCTTTGACAGGCTGTAAATGAGAACTGACTTAGGTCAACAACCAAACCACCCTATTCCAAGTGCACCACAGGATAAAGCCTTTTTCTCCTGAGCACACACATTTTTGCTCCATGTATGTCAGGGCTTGCTTTGCACATTGCTCACAGACAGCTTGCCAGCAGCACTGAGCATTATCTCATCACTAACAACCTCAGCATGGTTTGCAGCAAATGAAAGCAAAACAGCCCAGATATTTAAAACACTGCTGTTTGTATCCCTCCAGAAAATACCAGCTTCCTGGACACAAATCTAAACTGCAGGGAGCCAAGATAAATTATGACAGCATCATGAACAACCTTGTATTTTTAGAAGAAAATCCACAGCAGGTTACCCCCTCCTTACTATTGTTTGTGTCCAGCCCTTGCTAAGGTGGAAACAGGTAAGAGGTGTTCAAAGCTGACAGCAAAAGGCTCCTGATCCAACCCCAGCAAACAAGAAGACAATTAATACAGGAATTGCTCCAGAAAGGTCCAGCAGTTCTTAATGCTACTTATTGACATTTAAATGCAGATTGAACCAAAGCCATGATTAAGTGAAAGGACTAAGGAACCATCACAGCCAGTAAGATAAACCTCCTCAGCCCAAAACTACACAGAAAACTGGATCCTGTGTCTGACCAACACCTGCTTTACCCCACATGTGGCTCCAACAACAGCCTGATCAGCTCCCCACCACTCATTCCACACAGGGAGGAGGCAGGTTTAAGGCTTTGGGATAGATCCAAGCTCCCTGGCATTGAAACAATCCACTATTGCACCCCCAAATCTCTACAATGATCCCTGGTTTAACTCCAGTGTTAAGTGGTGCCACCCATCTCCCCTGAAAAGCCTCTCAAGGAGCCACATGACAGCCCAAGAGTGGCCCAGAGCCACTGGAACACCAGGAAAATAAACAGGACAATGGAACATGGATGGCAGAGGCAGAGCAGTGCCGAGGTTCCAGAAACCTGCAGCTTGTGCTGGGGCAGGGAATTCGTGGTGCTCCCCCCTCCACTCTCAAATGCCCTCTGCCTCCTGTCACCTCCCAACTCCTTGGAACCCCCCTCCCAGTTCTGCTGCCACCCCCACACCTCCAGCAGGACTCACAGCACCCCCTCCACACTCCCCTCTGGTACCCCAGTACCCCCCCTAAGCCCCCGTCCACCAGCCCTTCCCTCTCGGCAGCGTTCCATGGATCTCCCCAGAATTCCACAGTCGCAGGAGCATTCCCCACCAATCCCAGCTTCCCTCCCCAGCATTCCCAGCCCCAGCAGTGCCTGCCCAGTCCCTCTCAGCACTCCAGCCCTCCTCCCTGCCTGGCCTCACCAGTGTCCCAGTAGCTTGCTGTGTTCATTCCCACCCGACTTCCCTTCCCCAGTCCCACCATCCCCCAGCACCTGCCCACCCACCACCCCCAGCCCTGTGTCTCCTCCCAGTAGCTCTGCACCCACCTGCCCATTCCTCCCAGTGACCCCCCCATCCTCTCCCAGTACATCAACAGTGCCCCTCCCAGTGCCTCACCAGCAACCTCCACGTCCTGTTCCAGTCCCCCCTCCCAGCTCCTCCCAATACTCCACCAGTGCCCCTCACCTCCACCCAGTATCACCTGCCAGCGTCCCCCAGTGCCCCTCCCCACCCTGTCCCAGTCTCCCCTCCCAGTACCTCATCAGTGTCTCTCACCTCCTCCCAGTATCTCCTCCAGACCCTCCCAAGACTCCACCAGTGCCCCTCCCCACCCTATCCCAGTCCGCCCTCCCACCACCCCACCAGTGCCCTCACTTCCTCCCAGTGCCCCTCCCAGCACCCCACTGGGGCCTCACCAGTGCCCCTCACTTCCCCCAGTATCCCCTCCCAGCGACCCTGCTGCTCCTCCCAGTGCCCCTCCCAGCCCTCTCCCCGTCCCCTCTCCCAGTATCCCCTCCCAGCATCCCCCCAATACTCCACCAGTGCTCCTCCCCATCCTATCCCAGTATCCTACCAGTGCTCTTCGCCTCCTCCCAGGATCCCCTCCCAGCGCCCCCCCCCAGTGCCCCTCCTCACCGTTACCCCAGTCCCCCTCTCAGTGCCCCTCCCAGTGCCCCTCCCGGCCCCCTTCCAGTCCGTCCCAGTCCATCCCAGTTCCCGGCCCCACTCACGGACCGGACTCACCGCTGCGGGGGCGGTGGCGGAACCGGAAGCGGCGGGGCCGGGCGGACTCGCGAGCAGCGAGACCAAACCCTCCCACGCCCAGAGCGGCCGCGCCCCCCCACCATAGAGCGGGCGGAGCGCAGACCGCTCGCGCTTCCGGGTGGGCGGGGCGGAGCGGTGCCCGTGTGGGGCGCGGCGCGGCGGCTCCCCCCGGCGGCGGGGCGGGCGCGGTGGTGCGATGGCGGAGGTGGGCGCTCACCTCACGGCCGCCCCGGCCGGCGGGGACAGGCCGTCTGTGTTCGAAGCGGTGGCCCAGGACAGCCTGATGGCCGCCGTGAAACCCGCCCTGCAGCACCTGGTCAAGGTGAGGCGGGCCGGGCCGCGGGGGAGGGCACAGGAGCGGGGCCGGGCTCCTCTCACTGGCAGTGGGGCAGTTGTGACTCTCCCGAACCGGAGGCGTCGTGTAGAGCTGTAGTAAGTTATAATTTAGCACAATACTCCACTTTCAGCAACTTCCCGGTGAGGGTGGTGAGGCCCCGCCACAAGTTGCCCAGAGAAGCTGTGGCTGCCCTATCCCTGGAAGTGTCCAAGGCCAGGTTGGACGGGGCTTGGAGCACCCTGGGCTAGTGGAAGGTGTCCCTGCCCATGGCATGGGGTGGAACAGGATGGTCTTTGAACCCTTCCAACCCAAACCATTCTGTGATTCCTTCTATGTCCCCTTTCACAACAGGTGCTTGCTGAGTCCAACCCTGCCCGGTACGGCTCCGTGTGGCACTGGTTTGATGAGATCTACGTCCTTCTGGATCTGCTGCTCCAGCAGCACTACCTGGCCAGGTGCAGCGCCTCCTTCTCCGAGAACTTCTATAGCTTGAAGAGGATCCCGATGGGAGAGGGCACACGGCAGGCCCTGGCCACGGCTGGCCTGCCAAAGAGGCAGCACTGGAAATCTCTGCTCCTGCTGGTTCTTGTTCCTTATCTGAAAGGAAAGCTGGAGAAACTGGTGTCCAGCCTGAGGGAGGAGGATGAGTACTCCATCCACCCTCCATCGTCATCCTGGAAGCGCTTCTACAGAGCCTTTCTAGCTGCCTACCCCTTTGTAAACTTGACCTGGGAGGGCTGGTTTCTTATCCAGCAGCTGTGCTACATCCTCGGGAAAGCTCAGCATCATTCCCCCTTGCTGAGGCTGGCTGGGGTCCGCCTGGTCAGGCTGACTGCGGAGGACATCCAGGCCCTGGAGAAGAAATTGTCTGGAGCCACCTCAAGTCAGACACACAGGTATGTCAGAACCCGCTGCTCTTCAGGGGGTTCCTTGGCTGTGTTAATTTTGAGGTGATGCTGCAAAGCAAAACTCCCTTGTTCTCCAGAAATTCTTCAATACGAAGAATGGCAAAATGTGCTCCAAAAGGGAGTATTGTTAGTGAAAGTAAGGAAACGAGTAGCAGGGATTAGCTTAACATCTTGTGGTAATGACATTGCAGGGTTTGGGGGGTCTTTTGGGGCATTCCAGCCTTTACCCTGTCCAGTCTTCACCTGCACTTTTCCAACAAGGAAATTAGACTGCAGCAATGTTGCTAAAAGGACTGAAGCTTAGCTCTTTGATTTTCCTGAGCAGCAGCTAGTCATGACCACACTTAATATTCTGTAAAATGGTCAGCCATGAGTGGTCCAAGTCCCCTCAATCCAAACTCTCTTAATTTAGACTTCTGAGCGAAAGAAGATTTGGATCTTTCTTAAAATACAAAGAATCTGAGAGAAACATCGTAACACATGCCTCACTACAAACATGGGACACGCTGATCAGCTTCCTCAGCATTAAGGAGCTGTAGGAAGCAGTGACTTCCCAAGTACTTTTTTCCACGGTTTCTAGATGGATAAATGTGCAGTGGTGACCATCTCTCCATACTCTTCTCTCTGCCACAGCTTTACATCACGAGTGCAGCTGGCACTGAGAAAAGCTCTGGGTGGCATCGCCTTCTCCCTCTCCACCGGGCTGTCCGTCAGCGTGTTCTTCCTCCAGTTCCTGGACTGGTGGTACTCCTCAGAGAACCAGGAGACCATCAAGTCTCTGACAGCTCTCCCAACTCCTCCACCTCCTGTGCACCTGGACCACGAGCCCAGCTCAGCTCTGCTGCCCAAACTGAAGACCGTGTGCCCCCTGTGCCGCAAGATCCGCGTGAACGCCACGGCCCTGTCCACGTCCGGCTTCGTGTTCTGCTACCGCTGCATCTACAGCCATGTGAAGGCTCACCAGCGCTGCCCTGTCACAGGCTATGCCACAGAGCTGCAGCACCTTGTCAAACTGTACTCCCCTGAGAGCTGAAAGGATGCTGGGAGCCTCCATCACCCCTTCTTACATCCCAGGAATTCCGGCCGCTGCAGCTCCTCAGTGAGCTCTGCAGCTCCTTTGAATTTGGTGGTCCATCAGTTTTGCTGCCTCTGTGCCTTCTGGCAAGGCTCTCCCCTTTGTTGATAAGCTGTTCCAACATCCTGTGGCAGTTCCAGAGGGATCAGGCAGCCCCAGTCTGTCAGACAGTACAGAAATGCCTTCAAAGACCAGCTGAAAGGGAAGGAACATTGATTTGGATAAGAAGAATGCAGATGTGAGGATCAGAGACCAGCACTGGTAAAAGTCCTGCCCGAGGGCACGAGCCAGCAAATTAAAGAGGTAGGGAAATTCTCTAGGAGAGTTTTTCTTCCCTTAGCAGCTTCCCAGGCCGAGCTCTGGCACTGGGGCTTGTCAGAGGTGGAGATGAGCTTAAACCTCTGCTCTGGTCATGCTGCCCTTCAGCCTCCTGCATTTTCAGGCTACTCACCCCTGAATTGAGAACATCACACCCCTAATTGCCATCAGTAGTTCTAAATTAAGACTTCTGACTCGTTAAAGGAACAAAAGGTCATGTGTACAAACAAGGAACATTACATTTTCTGCACAAGGGAGGAAAATGACAAACCAGATTAAAACAGAAGCTGCCAAATGGTGAGAGTTGCTTTTTGTTAAATAAGTCTTTGCATTCGTTATTATCTGCTTTTATAAAGCAAAATTCTTTCTTGATTGAGAACCTAACTTAATTATTTTCTGGTTCCAATAGAGTTTGCTCCTCTGGGGGCTCTATTTACATAAGAGAGACCAGACTAAAGCTGCTTTCATCTTTTCATGTGATGATAATGGATGTAAGATTAGCATTTTGTAAGCCGAGAATCTCTAAGTATGACATTGCAAATATTGCAGTCCCAGCCATGTAGCATATTCTTATCAATACAAAACATCCTTTCACTGAACACAAGAGGCAAGAAAACCTGTGTGCCATGGCTGGTTCCTGCTTGACAGCTGCAAGGTTTTTTCCTGACTCTAGGGAGCAGCAGTGCTCCGGACATCACAGTGACAGTGCTTACAGAACACAAGAGCAAAGTTTGCTGCACAAAGTACAAGTCCTTTCCAGATTAAGAGATATCTTCAGACATTTAATCCACTGAACCAGGCATCTCATTTTCCCCCCGCTTTAGCTCTGCTTCAGAAGATAAAAATCTCCAATATCCTCCCTCACCTGTAACTAAGATAGCAAGGTTACTGAATAATGGGGGAAAATACAGTAATTTGCATCCTCCCAAAGATGCTCTGGAAAACACCTATTGTAACAAATGAGATTTGTCCCCGACACTTGTCTTTTTATCTCTGTACAACTTCCAGACCCTTCTACCTGTGCCACTATGGAATAACAATAAAAACTGTCTCATTTCTCCTTTCTCCAGTAGTTACAGGATCCATGAAGACACCTCTCTCCCTTCAGAGAGCCAGTAAGAGCACACACATCTTACTGGAAGAGCAGTCCCATCAGGGTGTGAGATTATCTGAGATTTTAAATCACTCTTCAGAGGGTTGGCCTTGGCCTGGGTATTAATGTCCTGGTGGCTCCAGTGCAACTGCTCATTTAAATAAGGGCTGAAGCCTTTGACTAATGATTCAGTTTCACAAGTGGTTTATTTTCCTTTTGTCCTTCCTATGCTTTCCAAATTATCCATCTGCTGCTCAGGGAGAAGCTGGGCAGACCTGGGACAGAAGACTGACCAATGCTGACTCACCCGCCAGCACTGCAGAGCTCTTGGGCAGGTTCTGCACCATCCTCCCTCTAATCCAGAAGGATTCATTAAAGGCCAAACAGCACAACAGGGTTGCCTGATCCCACACTGCTCCAGGGCCTCTAGACCCCCTTCTCCCAGGATTAATCTCTTCTTCTCCCCAGAATGCCCACTGCCTGCCAGGCCCTGGCTGCCTTCCACTCCCCACTGCACAACACCCTGTCCCTGCCAAACCTGGATCTGGCCAACTCCACAGCAGCTCCAAGACCTCCACAGAACACCCACGCCTAAGCCTCACAGTTCTGAGCAGCTGTGATTACTCTTTTGAACATTAAATTGCTCTTTAAATTAAATTTTACTCCTTAATTGAGTAACAGGCATCGAGCCCACAGTGGTGACAAGACTCAGCAGTCAGCCGGTGGATTTTATGTGTTCCTGTAGATGGCTGCAGGATGCCAGCTTGCATTTGACTTTGTCAAAACCTGTCCTTAGTAGCCAAATACATACACATTTATCAGGTTTAATGTTCTAAAACAAAACTACAAGACCCGTCAGGGTTATAGAAAAATTCCCATTTATCTGCTTTTTAACTGTGATAGTGTTCTTAAAGCCATGATGGGCTAAAGATAGACAAGAGGAGTTTTTTTTTCTGGTAACACCAACTTTATTAAGCCAACCTTTGGACTCACATACTAATTTGTGTCTTACATACAGTGATGTATCATATATATGCCTTCAGAATGCTTAGTTTGTGCTTAATACAATTTCACCAACATTAACAACAGCACTGGAGCTGCCCAGTACTTCACTGCCAGAACTTGACTTTGCAAGTCTGTTAACAAATAATTAGTGAACCTGAGGCACATTCACAGCTCATCTACACGGTGTTCAAAAAGGAATGTATTAGCAACTTATTTCCTTAAGAGAAACCATGTAGCTTTTCCTGTTAAGGGAAAAACCACCATAACATACTTCTAGGTATATATTCCCCATAGATGCTTCCTTCTCCACAGAAAGAGAGAAATGAATATAAAGGTGTCAACAGGACCTGGAAAAGAACAAAAAATTCGGTTAGAGAATAGCTCTCCTTCATTCTCCTTGCTTAATTAGCCCAGCCTCTCCTCCAGCCCCAAAGGGGCTGCACTTCATCAAGAGTATTCCAAAAATACTCCTGGCTCCGTGCTGGCAATCGCTAGATGAGAATACAGCTGGACAAACTGCTAATGAGCATCTACAGGACAGGCAGCTCAGACTCCACCCTACAGAGAAGATATAGGGGCAGAGTATCTGGAATTTCATGAGCCATGTCATATATACGAGACAAAACAAGAAACCCCCCTCACTGCAAGCTCAGTCCTAAACCCAGCATTGCAGCAAGACACACACAAACCCAAACAAGTATTTGCACCACTCATTTTTCAAATCGAGGTTTTCTTTTTCTACCACTAAAAATTTTGCTAAAAATTCTTAATTTTGCTAAAAATTCTTTTTTTTTTTTCTGGGGGGGAGAGGGCATCAAAAAGTTTCAAGAAGCAGCAAAGCTGTTTCCTCCAGACGAGCTTAGCCTAAAGAAGCTCAGAGAGAAGATTAGGTGATCATGCCCTGGTCAGAGCAGAGACACGGAGCCTCGGCAATACCAGTTCAGACTATACTTCGCTCATCATTGCTTTGGGCAAGTCTATTTCCATTCCGTAAGGAGCCTGATCCCAAGTTAGCAGTAGGTGGTTTCCTCCTTCCTAGGAGGAGGAGCACGTGTAGCAGGGGAGCTCAGGAAGGGAGGGACATCCCTGCTAGAGCCAAGCTGGGGAAGGCCGGTGACGAGTGGGCATTCCAGGGTCAGGAGAGTCAGTACCAGGCTCTACAATGAGGAAAAAACCGTGTCATACCCATGAATGCCGCTGCAATCAGTGTCGCTCTCCAGGGGTCCAGAGGCATGTTTTGATCCCTCGTGCCACACGTTTGCACTCTCCCATCTCCTTCCCTGTATTTTTCCCCCAGGCTCCTGCAGCTCTTCAGCTCCCAGTTCTTCTGCCCGCGTCCGCCCTAACCCAGCCCCGCATCCCCCGAGCCCTCCCCAGATATCCTCAGGCTCAGCCTCCCGGACCCCGCGCCCCGCAACACCAAGCCCTGAGCTGCCCCCGGCCCCGAATCCCCGCTCCCAGCCCCGAATCCCCACTCCCGGCCCCGAATCCCCGTTCCCGGCCCCGTTGTCCCGTGTCCCCTCACGCCGCTCTCGGCTCCCCCAGGCCCGGCCATGCCAGGCCGGAGCCACCCGCCTTTGTCCCACCCCCAGTGGCCAACAGCCAATGGCAGCGCGCGGCTCTGCCGGTGGGGCCTGGCGGGAGCCAATAGGAAGGCGCGTTACAAGAGCCGGGGGCGGTGCGAGCGTTTCCCGCCCAGAGCGGTCTGAGGGGTCCTGAGGGAGCGGGCGGGCTCTGTCAGTTTAAAGTGGCTGTTATGTCTGTGGTTTAGCTAAAAAAATGCCAATAAATGGCTTTTACATAAGTAGTTTCCCCACTCAGTTTCAGGAACAGGATTAGTATTAGGATTAGTAGAACCCAGTTGCTCCACAGAGAAGCTTCAGTGGGAGAATGAAAACTTCGCCCTTTGATACCAATGTCGGGTTTTTGTCTTGGTGTCAGAGATGTTGGTTAGATAAAACTGTACAGAGTTAATGTGAAGTGCTTTGGAAAGGCAGATTCAACATCCCTAAAACTGGGTATCCAAAAATTGCAGGCTCATTAAAAACAAACCCTATTTTCCACCACAGTATGTGGTTTGGAAGAAGAGTCTGATATCCTCCCGCTGTCATTGTAAACTGAATATGGTTACAGCATGGAGAAGATACTGTACACAGGAATAACGCTCCAAATAAATTTGCCTTCATGTCATCAAACCTGTTAGCTTAACAAATGTTAGGCTTTTCTAAATTCAGGAAGCTAGAGACACTTTCCATTTATTTCTTTTCCTTAACACGCAAGGAAAGACTATCCCCATGGTTCCTCTCATAACCTCCAAACCTCAACATTTCATCGTGCTATGCCTGTTGTGGGCGTCACCAATATTTCGTATTATCAGAGATATTTTACTGCCCTTGAATTCACATTTAAATTATTGCCGAGTAAGATTATATTTACTATAAACTTAGGGACTTCCCCCCAGGGACTAAAGCAAGGGTCTCTGTTTTTTTTGTGTTGCCCACAGAATCCATTAAGAATCTGTGCTTGAATGAAAATATTTATATAATGAAGTTTAATGTGATGACCAACTGGTGTGTTTGTTTCTCATTCTGCTTTTTTCACAAATGAGATATTTTCAGCATTCCCTGTTGAGCCAAACACTGTGCTCTGGTGTGAACCTCAGCTTAACCCCTTGGTGTCACCTCCTTGTACAGCCTTTCGTGATGACTCTGCATCTTCATTTGAGCAGCACTCAAAGGGTGGAAATTCAGCCTGTGCTACAGATTACTCCAGTTACCCAGTTGCCTTAGATTCTCCTTTTGCTTAATAAAAGCAGAACAGGAATTCCACATGGAACAAAGTAGTGAATTTATTAATAGTTCATCCACCATCCTCACACTTTGGCACACAACTTACCATAAATGAACAAGGAAGCACACAGCTAAAACCCAACCTATTTTCTGACTGCAGAGTAGAAGACACTTAACCCTCTCTGTTCCACCATTGCTGGGAATTCCAGAAGTACCAGGGGCTGGAGGTGGACTCAGAACAGACTTCAGCTCATTTGAGTTTCCTTCCAACAGGCTCCTGGAACATTTCCAACACAACTGACTCTTTTACAGCTGGGCCTTGAAGCTTTTATCATTATCAGCTGAATGGGGGCAGAGAAAGGCTTTATACCATCTGGGAATTACTCAGATGGACACTTTCCAAATTTCCCAGGCAAATGCCCTCCTTTTTCTCGTAGAGCTTCTGATCCTCCAAAGCTGTCCTCAAACTATTCCGCACCTTGACAATGGCACTAGACTCTCCTCGTGGCTCTCACTTTTCCATATTTCTCCACAGCACTTTTTCCCCCCACGTTCAGCCCTTTTTGTTGCTTTTCACCTCCTCATGCCCGAGAGAAAGGTTTGATCAGCCCATAATCCATGCACCTCGTGAGGCAATCACGTGCCACGTTAATGATGTGCTGCTTCTTGGGGTGATCCTCTTGCTTCCCGACGTAGGTCAAGATCTCCAGGAGCTCTGACTCCACCAGCTTCTTCGCCAGCTCTTTGTCAGCACTGATTAAGTTGAAAGCAATGACCAACCCTCGGTGCTGGATCTCCATGTTGTCGTGCAAGCAGAGCCTCTGCAGGATTTCGAGCCACTGGGTGGTCTTCAAGGGAAAGAGAGGTCATGAGTATTGATCTGCAGAACATCTCAACCAAAAATGTCAGTTTGGCAAGGCACTGCTCAGCAGAAGGAAGAGCAACGCTCATGTCAGTTGTGGTTATTTCATTCTTTAACTAAGGAAACCTGACTCCAAAGGTTTCATGTTCAGGCTGCTGCATAATCTCTGTGCAAAGAATCTGACCAGAATATTGGCACAGCTGAGATGACCAGGAGCAGATCACACACTCCCCCACCCTGACCTTTCTGAGCCTCTCTCTTGCCTTGATTAATCATTTTTATTCTAATAAGCCCCAGTGTCCAACATCATCATGTG